ACCTATGACTGGTTTTAACAGAATGCTGGAAGAAGCACTTGGGGCACATGTGCACTTGTGTTTTTTTCCCCAAAACATAGTGATTTTTACAGTGTCAATGCATCTATACCTATTGTGCCAGCACACCTACTGTATGTTATATAATGATGTGGTTACCCGTGTGTCCCTTTGTTCTTTCTTTGGAAACAGCAAACTTAATAGAGCAAATATACAAAGTGTGTCAGCCTTTCCATCATCTTCATATGACATACAGTATATGTATAGCAGAACAGCAATTTCACAGCAGTATCTTTCTGTGCTCTCAATGTGTGATGCTCCTAAACCATTTCCCTATGCCTGCAAAATGCACATAAATACATCAGAAACACTACCAACTTCATTTTGTAAGGTCTATGTGTTTTTCTTTCCCTTTCATAAAGCAAATCAGTTGACACTTTCTGTACTTCACTTTCAGGCTAAGGGAGGAGAAAATTAAAATGCAGAAGCAGCACCAGGAGGAGAGACTGCGCAAAGCACTAGAAAGAGCCCAGGTGGACATAAAAAAACCAGTGAGTGCAGATGTATTTTTTTCCCCACTGTTCAACACATGTCTTTCACAGGAACAGAATTCAAAGCAATCATTGAGTGGGTCATTATTATTCATTATACTATTATTAATGAACATAAGGGTGCCACGGTACAAGTCTCATGTCTTTATGTGAGCAGGCCTGCAGTTTGGAATTTTATTGTATTGTTTCTCCTTGTTCTTAGGCAGGGAAAAGACTGATGTTCCGCTCACAGCCACCTGCGCGCAAAGTGAAGGAGAACAAGGACCAAGACATTACCGACAAGGAGAAAGAGGAGCAGCTGTACTTTTTCACTTAAAACAAGATTAAAAGTAATGAAGACTTAAGAAAGATCAGTTATCTGGCTAAAATGAATACACTCCCCCCCCAAACGTCACCAACAAGTATTTGGCATTACAACACAGGGAACAAACCAGACGATTATGCACAACAGCTCAACAAAATCAATTACTGAAGACTAATCTCAAAACCAGATACACTGGGACTGTAAAAAATGGTTAGAAACTGATACTTTTACACCAATGTTAAATGTACCCTCCTAGTCTCACTTGTATGTAAAATGTATTCTATAATGCAGTTAGAGATGCTAATGAACATCTTCCATGACTTTAGAAATTAACTACCTATACAGCCTGCTGGACTGGGTCTCTCCAGTACTAGAGCTAGACTCTAGTCTATCGGATCTGTTTTCTCCTTCCCTGCTCAGCTTGTACTGCTTTATTATATCTTCGTAGGTTACAGCACAAGCCCTTTGTTATAATACACACTATTAAAAGACATTTTTAAAGTTATAAAACGTAAAGGAATTTGCAACCCCTAGTCTACAGTTCAGTATGACAAAAACATTACAGGCAGAAACACTTGGAATTCCCACCAGATAACACATAGGGCCTTTGTGACCACACAAACAGCTTGAACAG